GGCGCCTAAACCCTAAAACTGCCGGTACGGCGCCTAAACCCTAAGCCTAAACCCTAAAACTGCCGGGTTTATAGCGCCTAAACCTTAAACTAAACCCCTAAAACTGTCGGTTGTCCCTCTGCAGCTGTCGAGCTTCTCATGCTACAAACTGGCCTTCCCTACAATAGCTTTGTCATGGTCAAGTGTGAGCAAGCATTCATCAAGAAGGAGCTGCAGATGGTTTCGACGATCAAGCAGAGGCCGCGGCGTCAGCAACAGATCATAAAGAAGGAGATCATTGAGTCGGAGCCTGAGGAGGACTCTGATGCCGACTCCAAAGTCATGTCAAAGATCAAGCGCAAGGAAAAGCAACGGGACTACGAGAAGAACAGACAAAGTCGCATAAAGCCCCTAGGAAGGAATTTCATAATAATAAGCCACTTAGGAGAGACTAAGAGTTTTCAATGAATTTTATCAGACACCATGCAACTCAGGACGGCAACCATCAGGTGCTTAGAGCTCGACAGCCAGCTGAAGGAGATGACTTTGGACAGGGACTTCGCTCTCCATCAAATCAACATCCTTCGCCAAAACCTGAAAGCCGCTGAGTCTAAAATAACGGCCTTGCAGCTGATGCTGCCTCTGGTGGAGTTCGAAGGTGAGCTGCGGGAGTGAGGCTTTCAATCACTGTACAGAAGGACCAGTCACTGTTGGTGAGTGCTAGGGGTTACCAGACCGTTCCTGTTTTTTGTCATGCCTTGTAAGGGGACGAGGTGTGCAATAACTTGTAAAGGATGTGAGACTTTCATCTCGGCCGAAATCCATGGATTCTTTCAGAGTTCTGGAGAGTAAGCTGAGAGGATCGGAGCCTCGCTCTTGTCTCGGCCGAAATCCATGGATTCTTTAAGAGTTCTGAGAGTAGACTGAGAGGATCGGAGCCTCGCTCTTGTCTCGGCCGAAATCCACGGATTCTGTGCGAAAGTAGGCCCAGAGGTTCAGAGCCTCGCTCTTGTCTCGGCCGAAAGCCCAGGTGTTTGAGCCAGAGTTCTGGGGAGTAGGCGGAGAGGATCGGAGCCTCGCTCTTGTCTCGCCAGAGATCTCGGCCCAAACTTCGTAGGTCAAAACATGGAGCGCACGCCGCTACCAAAGAAAAGACGTTTGGATGCCCCAAATCCAGCAGAACCTGTGGCGAAACGACGTAAAGGAGATCCACCTGAAACCCGGGATGTGATGGAGGACTTGCCGGGTGTCTTTCTCCGAGTCCTGACCCTGGCAGATGATGTGGCGAGGCGTATTTTTGGATCGCATGAACTTTCAGCCTGCGCTCCATGACCACCCTATGGACGATGCAGAGACAGTCGCCCCTGAACCTGGCGAGGAAATCAACGACACTGTAGACGAGAACCTTTATGCCACATAGTAACATTGAAGTCCGGATAGTAGGCCGAGAGGTTCGGAGCCTCGCTCTTAGTCTCGGCCTCAATCCTGTCAGACTCAGTACTGATCGGGATCTGTGATAGCTTTGATCGTGGCTTGCGAAAAAAGTGAGGATGAGTTGAGTGAGATTCAGATAATAATTTAATGCGTCTTACTTTGATTTGGCAGACAAAGCGCTTTAAGTCACATGCAATCACTTGCCAATTTCAATGCCCGTTGCAGTCTGTCAGTGACGTCACTTCCTCTAGTCGATTATTATATAGCTAACACTGTAGTGAGGTCAGTTCGTTTCTTTCGTATTTGTAATGAAAGTTGATCCATGGCGGACCTGGTTGGCCATGCAGCCATTGCTGCATCCGGAGCACGAGGAGACGACGAGTAAGAACTGTGACAAGAAGAAGCACGGTGGCACGAAGAAGAAAGACAACCAGAAGAAGGCCGTCATGAAGAAGGACACTCCCTCAGCGGCGGACATTGCAGCGGCAGAGAAGGCTGCAGCGGCTTGGTTGGCTCGGCGGTCGGCGAAGTCGGTGTCAAAGAAGGCTGCAGCTGCATGGTTGGCTCAGCGAAAGGCAAAGTCCGAGTAGATCGTAGATCAGATCCGTAGCATCAGACTCAGATTCATGGTTACCATGGTCCAGAAAAATTTGGTGTGCCCCATTGCTGCATGCGTTTCGTCTGACTGTCACGGTTATTATCCTGATGCCGCCCAGTTCCCCTGCAGCAGCGTCGCAGTCACTGGATCTGAAGAGGCTGGCTGGCGCTTGTCTTCCGCCCGTATCTAAGAACAAGACATTGCGTCCTCCAGGCATGACGAAAAAAAGAACAAGCCGGCTGTCGTCCCTGAGGCTGGAAAGTAGGCGCATGACGCAGGATTTGATTATTATTCATTGATCATTGTCATGTTTGATTTGTTTCATGCTGAACGGCCCGTCAGGCTCCGGGCCAGGATGGTCCCGGAGATGTTAGTTTTTATCATCTTCATTACGAGCCTCAACAACCCTTGCCGAAGTTTGGCGAGCTGGTTTATAGGGTGAGTGCCTCGGGGGGCATTCATAAAAGCGTGGCCGTGGGTTCTTGGACTCCCTACTTTGGCCCCGCTCCACGGCCAATGCCGCTGAACCTGAAGATGGTGTCTGTGGCGGCAACAATGATGGATTATTGATTGTATCATTCCATAATTCATGCAAAGTATGTTGAGGACACAGTTTTTAAACCTTCCCAGGTGCCGCCGAAGCATCAGCCCAGATCGTGCAAGACCAAAGTGGCCTTGCTAAAGCGGCCCCACATATTCCAGACATGGGGTACTATACGTTGCGGCCCCGGGTAGTAAAGTCTTGTCATTGTCACGTCATTTGGTCTTGATGCTCAGAGCACTGATTATAAAGTTTCAATCTGACCGCCGACTGTCCTCAGGATGCTTTGGTGCCACAATCCGAGCAAACCCGAAGTATCTGAGTGTCAGAGCCAAACAGGACGACGAGTGCCCGTAAAGTTTCTTTGCTGCATTTAATTTTTAAGATCGCATCAAATTTAATTACGTCACAGCACCAGCAGGACTTTGCGACGCAAATTTACTACTCGGAGTCTTTCCAGAAGGCATGCAAGCTCCGAAAAGTAGTTGATCCTGGCAAGTATGTCAACCCGCACGTCGCGGAGTACATCTGTGGCACCTTGGTTGCAGACTGACTGTTGAGGGAATGGACGTTGAAGTCTCATTGTATTCTCCTGCCTCTTCGGGGGGCCTTCAGTTCGCAGTCTGTGTCCAGGCTTGCCGCTCGGGTGGACCAAGCCCGTTGCGGGCTGTGCACGATCGGTCGCCTTCGACACCTTGTTTGCGAGGCCTTGCGAAACAGACAAGAAGGCCAGATCTAATTTGGTCTTCGTGCACTACTAAACTCAGACTAGACTCAGACTCTGTTTCATTGCTCACGACATGCATTGTTTCAGACGCTATGGCCGGTCATCAGCTTGTTTTCGGGCGTGCTCGGTTTGGACCTGGCGCTCTCCGGACTGTGCCGCTCGATCGCGTACGCTGGAAGCTGAGATTCAAGCTGCAGTTACTGTTAAGTGTGCAATGTGACAGCCGTTTGATTGCTGTCGCGCGATGAGACCGCCGTCTGAGGTGGAATCCAACTCGTATTGCCAGGATGTGATTCGGGCAAGAATTGCGGATGGCATGGCCTGGGACGGCCCAGTTTACTCCGATGTCAGATTGTTTCATGCAACGGAAATGAGCGGCGCTTCTGGTCTGATCGGGGGCTTCCCGTGCCAGGTTGGCATTGGGGCGTGTCGTGCAGTCATGCGTGCATGAGACATTCATTGGCTTAGGGCAAGGGACCCGTTGCTCAGGGGGTGAGCCGGGCCGGCTCCAGAACTGGGCTCAGCCACAAGGAGACCTGTCTGTTGGCGGAGATATGGAGAATATTCGACAGCAGTCCTTCGCTCCTCTGCTGAATTGACAAGTCTAAGTCTAAGTTCTTTTCATTTAATTTCCAAGCTCCGGCACCCGAAGCTCCATGCGCCGCTGCAGCCAGTAATAAGTGACCTTAAACATGACGTTTGAGTTGTTGTGCTGCTTTCAAATTTCCTGTGACTGCCTTGCAGCGTTGTTTTGCCGAGAATAATTCCACGTGATGTTTGTTCACTCCGAGAACTGTTGGCATTGTTGTTGCGGAACCCTGATAATCAATGCAAATCCAATGATGATGAGGACAGTCTCAGTGACAAGAATGTTGAGCATTGCAGGCCTAGCCTAGTAATACTGGCCTGGGGCGTGTCCATGTTTCCAGCAAGTGCTGCTCAGCACGCTGTGAATTTGCCGGCACAGCGGGTGGAAATGGCACTGGAGGACCTGCTGATGGCCTAATCTGTGTGGATGGCTGTACTTTTCAGGTCGGCAACCCTGAGTATGTGGCTGCCATTGATAGACGGCTGCAAATGACAAGCTCGGCGCTGGCAGCAGTGGTGGAGTTGTCTGATGACGATATTGCAGGACCCACTTCAAGAGATAGGGCTGTCCATTCAGAAGGCAGGAGGCATGATGCTTCATGTGTTTCGTTGGCAGCAGTGGCGGAATTGTCTGGTGCTGATGTTGATGACACTGGGCCCAGTTCACGAGACAAGCCAATGCTGCCGGTGGCTGAAGGCACATCATCCGGCAAACGGAAGCGTCCAGCGGCGAATTATCACGCCGTTCGCAGGCAGGTGCTTTCTCTGATGAACAAGAGATGCTACTGCTCAAGGAAAAACAAGACTCGGTCTTCCTGCTTGGAGCAGTTCCGGGGGCAAGCGGACGCATTGGTTGAGTTGCAGCTGCGCTTACGTGCTCTCGGCAAGCACGACATGGACAAGGAGGCCATTCAAATTTAATTTCATATTCATTCCCCAGCTAGCAGGACCGTGACTCTGACTCCGCGTGTCTTGCTGCAAGCTTTTTAATTGCAACAGGGTTGATTTGGAATGTGCTGCTGCACGGCATTCGACGTTATTATTGTGCCTTGTCCCTGTCCTGTGAATAGTAACAGTGCAGTTGCTGAATAAGCTTTTTTCCTTCCTGAACGGGTCCGACCGAGTCCGTGATAATGCTGGTTGTGCAGGTCGTGAATATGATCACTTCCTGCCGCAAGAGAAACACCACGGAGGACCGCACCACATTCAGCCAGTCCATCCTGGACACTCCTGTATGCCAGGATGCTTTCGGGCGACTGCTGTTTATCGGAAAGGAACGAATGCAGAAACTTTGGAAAGCTGTGAGATCGGCGTCCCTCCACCCAGGGATGGACGCTTCTTGAAGCAAACTCGTCAGTACCGGAAGATGCAAGGATCCACGGAGAAACAGCAGGCGGTGGTCGAGTTCTTGACGGAAATGCATGCCACTGTGGCTGAGTACATGCCCGAGGCAAACCGTGCCCGGGACACCGCCAGCCCGGTTCCCAAGACGACTGAGTCTCAGAATGGCAATGACACTGTGCCAATTGGTCTGCGTTTTCGAAAAAGGACAGGCAAGCGTCCTCGGAAATCCGTGTCTATGAATTTTGGCAAGGACACGACAGCATTGAAAATGCTGCCACCTGGCACATTCACAGGATACTTGGCTCTGCTCAACGCCCGCAGAGAAGGCAAAGACAAGATCAGCCTGAAGATGTTCAACGAAGCAGCTTGGCAGTGGACTGACAGGCAATTCGCTTTAAATCACTACTATGCATTAGTTACGTCATCCTGAATCATAGTCTAACTTAGCCTTATGACCACGGCACACCTGCACCTTCAACTCATGTTGGAGTTTATCCTTTGTCATAGGTTTGGGCCGAGTCCTTTGGCACCCGCCTGGCCATCCGACCTGTCAGCCGACACGCGCTTTGCTCTGTGTGTCTACGGCACAAGCTCATCATTCGAAAATGTGGTGCAGACGAGGTGGCGAGGGACATCCAATGCCGTCAGTACGAGCAGCACTTGAAACTGCAGTACAAGGACCGTACTTGCTACTGGGAAAAGAGGGGCCTCGCCAGGCTGAGATCCTTGCAAGGCAATGGACTGTATCCATTGAGCCTCATAAGGGACGGTGCAGACCACAGCAAGTTCGCCTGCCCAAGATCAGGAGTCTTCTCCGGAAAAGACTTCTCCTCTTTGCACCGACCGACCATGGACCTGGTTGGATGTCTGCTGCACGGGCAGTCAGCCTGCCTGGCGTTGAGCCACCCGCGCCTGGCGAAGGATTCGTCCTACTCGACGGAGCTCCTCTATCACATGCTCCACCGCGTTTCCAGCCGCGTGGATCTTCGTCAAGCTGAGCTCTTCCTTCAAGCTGATAACACGACTCGCGAAGTGAAGAACAAT